GAGGAAGCAGCACCTTCCTGGGGCCCGCGAAGGCTCGCGCGTGACCAGGGGCCGGGCGAGGCTACCGGGCGCCCCGGGGCTGCAGGCCTCCGGGCGGGCAGCCTGGGAAGGAGAGAGGTGTGTGCGTGCAAAAATCGGATCCCAGCAGTCCTGCGGATGCCCTTGGCCCGGTAAAGCATCGGGGCTGCTTAAGGGTTGAGCTGCAATTGAGGGAATGAGCGGGTCCAGATTGGGGGAGGATGGCGTTTCATTGGCGGGTCTTTCGTTTGGGAGGGAAGAGATGCCAGCTATGGCTGGAGAAACGGTCTCTGCATCACTTCGAACAAATGCATGTCGTTCCTTAGAGTTTCCATTCTGTCTCGCCAGAGTTGCTGAAACCACGTCCATCACCATCCTGGGGTTTACTGTTTCCTTTATATAGAAGAATGACTCAAGCGTACCTACAGAGAGGGGGTTTTTGTTGTTGTTGTTGTTGTTGTTTGTTGTTTGTTTGTTTTTTAGATAATTGAACTTCTTCTCAAGTGAGGAAGGCAGATATTTTAACCATTTAGGTAGTTTGCTAGTGACAGAACTAAGAATTGAATTCTGGTGTCCTGATTCGAAGGCCAGGGCTTTGTCCTCTGCTCCATTGAAGCAGAGGCCTCCCTCTCCTGAGTTAACTGCAGTTAAGGTTGGGGGAGGGGAGCAGAGTGATAAGCATCTTAAAACCCTCACTCCTTCTGTCTGGTTTTCTGATAAAATAGGTAATTGACACACACAAAAAAATAGATGATGGATAGATAGAATCTTAGAGTTGCTGACATACTGTTTCAGGCTGTATATATACTAAAGCTTGTTGATATGATCTAATAGGAACTCCGAAGTGTTTGTTTTGTAAGGAGGCATAAGTAAGAGGGTAATTCAGTTCACATCTTTGTTTCCAGTCACACAGTAAGAAAAGCTCTGATTGGTTCATTCAGAACCGCCCATGGGCCTTCCCTCAGCAGTTGTTTTGTGTATGCAGCAGTTGTTTTGTGTATGACACAGGTCAAAGAGTCCTTTCCTTCCAGGGCATGTCTGTGAGTCACTGTCAGAGCTTCTAGCCAGTCCACTGATCACATTCTCTGTAATTCCTTTCCCAGCCCTTTGACCCCTTCTTGAAAACCCCTGAGAATGGACACTACCCAGGTAAGTCACTGGGGGATTTGCTTCCCACTTTTGGCAGTGGATGTTCATAGATTTGCAGTGTATACGTCCAGATGAAGTAGCAGAAATATATAAAAAGTCAGCGTCAGGGAAAATAACAGAAGCAGATCAACACCAGAGATGTGAACCTCAATAAAGAGAAGGTATTGCCAGATATAGTGGTGCATGGCTTTAATCCCAGCGCTTGGGAGGCAGAGGCAGGCGGATCTCTGAGTTGGAGGTCAGCCTGGTCTCCATAGAGAATTCCAGGACAGCCAGGGCTACACAGAGAACCCTGTCTTGAAAAAAAAATAAACAAATGAATAAATAAATAAACAGAAAGTATACATCCCGGTAGGCTTATTCAGTATAACAAAGACCAAAGTAGCAGGAAGAGGGATGTTACCATGGTGTTTTCATCATTTATTTATAAACATGTTCTTAGAAAATCTATGAGCAGATGATGCAAAATCACCTTTACCAGCAACAGCTGTGGATTCCCTGCGACTCACAACTTGGCAAGGCCTTGTAGATACAGATGCCTAATCTATTTTCAGAGGTGTAGACAGCCCTCTGATCGTTCGCCAGTGTGTAATGATAAAACATGCAATAAATGGGTTGCACATCCCTCAAATGGTCTCTGTTGCTATTTCTTTTTATCTGTAGTGCCTTTTTTGGAAAGTGTGTGTGTGTGTGTGTGTGTGTGTGTGTGTGTTGCTATAAAGTGGAGACAGGCTCACACTGATAATTCTCCTGCCTCTGAGTGATTCAGCTGTACTTTTAACACAGACATCACAGGGCACAGTTTGATTTTAGATCCTATGGTAAAACTATTTCATTTGTTTCTCTAATGTCAACTCGTTCCCTGTCCACTACCCATGTTGTGATCAAATCAGTGATCATTCGCCTGTTTTCAAACTTAGTATTTCCACTCCATGCTTCACCAGACCCCTTGTTACACTTACAGTGTGACCGTCTCTCCCTAAATAACCATTTCTAGCTTTCACACCACGATATCTTTAACTTGCCAATCATTTCCTCTTTCAGACCCACTGCTCCCGCCTCCGCCACCAACACTGTGTGCTTCCTCCGTCCTCCTCTCAGCTCTCTGCTGTGTCATCTAGAGTTTTAACTTGAACCCTCTGACCTCCGAAACCTTCCTGCCTGTAAGACTCTCAGGGTGTGATTCTTGCTGTACTTCTCTACAAGGAGTCTGCAAAAGGCACTTGGAGTCCTCGGTGCAGAACAGAAGTAATGTCCCCACCTCTGTCTGTTCAGGGTCCGGCTCCCTCATTGTTCCCTGCCGACATTGCTAATTCTTCCAGTCCCACAAGCTAGAAAGAAAATGAACCCCAAAGCCAGGTGTGGTGACCGAGGCTCACGAATTCTAGTACTCAGGGAGCTAATACAGGAGAATTGCCATGAGTTGAGGCCAACCTGTGCTACAGTATGAAACTGTCTCAAAGGGGAGGAGGGGGAGAAAAAGAAAACGAGGTGTGTGTTCAGTCTCATGGTCCTTGTTCCCCATCACAGGCAGTTGTCAAGCTTTGCAGAGGTCTCATGAGAATCAGTTCGTACTTCCCCTGCCTCAGTTCCTGTCTTTGGAATTGTCATGATGGATTTCCCAATGGTCTATCCACATCTTTCTCAAGTGTGTTGTTCATACTTGCTTGTCTTGCTAGCATTAACCATCTGTAACAGCTTGGTGCTGCGCTGCCCGAGCAGGTCCACGCTAGTACAGGATATAAGCTCAGCATCCTTGGTTTGACTTAACAAGGCCGGTTACTTCCTGGCCTTTTCCTGCTTTTCTTTTAGTTCCTGCTGCTCCAGACCTTTCATTTAGCCTGTTGATCACTGTGTTGTGTACCAAACACTGCACCGGATGCTGCACTTGTAGCTTGGCAGAAGCTAGCACCTCTACCCTCACGGAGCTCGAGCTGGTGAGGAGTGACTTTCCTATGGCTGACACCCAGGCAAGGCTCAGGTCATTATAAGCAGATTTGTGACCAGGACATTAAAAAGTTACACAAGACTGGGGACACATCTTTTCTATAAGGCTGTCCCATTCACTGTAGGACACCTACCATCCCTGGCCTGGTGTCCCTCTACCAGAAGTCCTCTCACTGAGCTGCCCTAGCCAGACATTTGTTCCCGCTGTGCACTGTGCCCCAGGAAGCAGGCGTCAACTGTGTTTAGCCTGCTGCAGAAGGATAGTGTTGTGCTTCTGGTTCCTGATCGTGCACCTGAGTTTACTTTGAACCTGTTCCCTGTTGTTGAAATAATTTCTACTTCTTCATGTTGTGTGAGACCGCAGCCAGAAGTTGTTCTGTTGTAGAACCCATTCCTGTCCCTTCTGCTTATCCTCCGGGCTGGGTGCTCATAGAGCTGTGTGGCTGTCTCTTACTTAGGGTCTGTCATTTACCTATGGGGGTCCCTCCATGTGAGGCCGTCAGCCCTCCTCTCCGTGCCCGCTTCACTCTTCTGCCCCGTACAGTGAGGCTCCTCATTTTCATCTTTTTTGGTTTTCCTTTGTTTTCTTCCCAGACTGCATAGGGTTGCTTACAGAGTTGACTAAATCACCAGAGTGTGATTTTTTTTTTTTTTTTTTTGCCATTTGTCAGGAGCACTGTTCATTGTCTTCCAAAGGCAATATGCTGTCCCTTCTTCTGTGGACTGTGTGCTGTGGGGCAGCTGACAATGTCCTGACTCAAGTCAGGGCTCCCCATCCAGTTCTCGCCGGCCTTTTCCCTCTAACATTCTTGGCATCATTCTTTCTAGTTGTCCAGAGTTTCTATACTCATCATCCTGCCTCGGTTATAATTACAAATTATAAAGTACCGTTTATTACCAGGAAGCTTATTTTGAAGGGAGTGATTCATAGAGAGCATTTAGCGTGGATAGTGAACTGCTTTCAAGTGACAAGTTCGTTCATGCCTAGTGGGCCCTTTCTGTGTGCTTTACGGATATTGCTACCTATGTGTTTTCTTTCACTTCCTTTCTTACATAACGGTACACTGTGGATATCCCCTTCATGATGCAGCCTAGAACTCACTGCGTGTCAGCCTAGAGACTTCCAAGTTTTGACCTCAGATACTGTTTTCCATTGCTGTTTTCCTCCTTGAGCTCCAAACCAAATGCCACCTGCCGTGGTAGGTGCCTTTCCCCATCTTCTGCACAGATGCTTTGAGCACAGCATTGCAGGTTGATGCCTTAGCTTCCTGTGCTGGTGAGGAGTGAGGTGCTTCTTTCTGTCCTCCTAACGTTGGCATACAGTGTTGACATACTCCGGCTCTGGTCACGCTGAACAGTCTGCTCCTAATATCTCCAGCCCACAGGTGACCAGTCCCTCTTGGTCCTCACGGAGTGTTGACTCTTCTCGTCCCTCACCCACCGAGGCTCCCTGTAGAAGGGCATCCTGATTTTCTTCCCCTTTGATTGGACCTTTTAGCTGTTTCCCATGTTTTCAAGTAGGGAACAGCAAGCTTTTTCTGGGGACCATATGCTAACTGTTTTCAGTTTCACTTGAACACACCGTCTCCATTGGCTGTAAATGCAGCAGTTTGTTGAATGGCAAAGGTCATGGGCAAAGTGTGAACCAGGCACTGGCCAGATTGAGCTGCTGTGACTAGATTGGGCCCACAGGCAGTGGCTTGCCATCACCCACACAACAGTGTCCCCTCCGGAATGCACATTGTCCTGCTGCTATGGGGGTTACAGACGCTTCTGTGTTCTCCAGAGTGGACAGTGAGGAACACTCCGGCAGCCCCTGGGGTTATGGTCATGTTCATATCTTGGCCAGAAGCATGAGCAAACAACAAATTGTTACTGGTGTTAACATGGTTATTGGTATTAACATACTGCTTAATGTAGAATTACATTATGGTTTCCAAGTAAGCACACAGGTCATCTGTACACCGAAAGTGTTTTACCGTTGCATTACAGTAGCAGAGACCTGTATGGCTGACTGTAGGCTCAAAGGCCTCTTGCTCTGCCCATTCTCTGGGTTCTTTCCTACTGAGGTCACTCTTCAACTGTGTGTGTGTGTGTGTGTGTGTGTGTGTGTTCTGCCTAAGTGTATTTCTCAGTGAACACACTGTGGCAAGTGAGGACTAAAGTCATGACTTCACAGACGTCTCATGACACAAAACAGGACCATTTGTGGTGGCCCTTTGTCTACCATGTATGTTCCTGCTGAGGTGCATTCTGCATGTGTCACCTGAGATACTGGGTGCTCGTTGAGAGGAAGAGTCAGAGTGCACGTGAGTCCATAATCCTGGTGTCCCAGGACATAGTATAAAGCCTGCACAGTTGAAGAACTCATTCACACATCGTGAGCACTTTTTCTTTCCTCACCCTGAAGCGTCTCTCTAGCCTCTGGGGCCATGCGGGCCCCACCTCATATTCCGCCCCCTCATCTGCTGTCTCAGTTCAACTGTCTCAGATGAAACTTGCTCTTTCAGAGATCAGTCTCCTTCAGGGACTTGTCTGTGGACTTCAGCCGTGAGGAATGGCAGTGTCTGGGCCCTGCACAGCGTCTCCTCTACAGGGATGTGATGCTGGAGAACTACAGTAACCTCATGGCGGTGGGTGAGTGCGGCCCCCACAGCACCCAGAACAAGCCTTCCTTCTGTGTCAGAGGGCATGGCGGACAGTAGAAGTGAATTCTCTCGCCCTGAGTAACAGGAGAGAAGGATGGTGACCGTTTGCACACACATGCATGTGCGTGCGTGCACACTGCTCCCCACCAACTTGTTCCATCCCCGTGGAGCTAGCAGAAGGCATCTCCATCGCTCAGGTTACCTGTCCTTCACTCTTCGATGTCCACAGAGCTCGGTTCAAGTTCCATACTGTTTCTCATTAACAGGGTTTCATGTTAGCAAACCAGAAGTGATCTTGAAACTGGAGCAAGGAGAAGAGCCCTGGATAGTGGCAGACTTGTCACGACAGAGCCACGCAAGTAAGTGTGATGACAGAGCGGGTAAAGCTGAAGAACTCGAGTCCCGGGCTGGTCCGTGACCACAGCAGGCACCTATATGATCTTCTGGAATCTTCTAGGACCTGGAGCTCTAGAAGAGCTACATGAGGGTCTCTCATAGTACTAAACTGCTCTCCCCAAGTAATCTGCTCCCTTAACCGAGCATAGAAAAACGTTTGGCTGTACGTGCTCTAGCCACAGAAGGCAAGCGCCTTCAGCGGCGCTGAGTCCTTCATCCCGCCTCACGTGCCTGCCTGCCCGGTGCCTTGCCATCAGCCTGTGCCCCTCGCCACCCACTTTCCACTTCATTGCATTTGCATTAATGCCAGAATTCTCTTCACTGAGAAGATGTCCAGTGGGCCTCTCCCTCCTGACTCTTCTGAGAGCGCTGGCTTCCAGAAGCCTGCTTCAGACTCTCACTGCCTTACTGGGTTCCACTTTGTTCATACTAGGTTCTTGTCCTGTCACCCTTTCAGCCATGGAGAGCTGTTGAGGACTGTCACTGCTGCAGTGTTCTTGTCAGTGTCCAAGGCTCTTGTGTTCTTTGCCAGTTTCTCCTTTCTCTGACCTGGCTTAGTGAGGTGGTGGGAATGAGTTTGCTTTTGTCCCCACCCTGTCCTCTCTCTCGTCCTTTGTGGTTTTGTTTCCATAAAGTAGAAGACATTTACACTTCATCTCTTTAACACTGGGAAGCCAGCGCTGAAGCCCTGGCCCCCCATAAGGCCTTTGTACAGATTGTCAGGGGTTCTCAGAACTCACATAGTAATGTCACTTCTGTTCCTTCCAGAAGATGATGATCCCTTAGAGAAGGACAGGAAAACACAAGACAAACATTTGAAGCAGTTTTCAGTCGTCAATAACAAAACTACGCCAGAAAAAGCCAATCTGTTTGAGGAAACGGTTGCTCTCGACATGGATAGTATTTCTTCAGGAAAAATGCTCCGTAAATATGATCCGGGTGGAAGTGTCTTAAAGAATCATTCAGGAGGAACAGTTGCCAAGCCAAGCGAAGCCAGTGGGAGAGCTGAGCGGGGTGCGGGTGGGGAGCCCGTGCTCCACACGAAGACTGACAGAACTCATTCTGCGGCCAAACGCTACTCACGTAATGAAGTCAGGGATGTCAAGAGTCAAGGTGAGGACCTCACTCATCGACAGAGTATGCAGTCTGTCAGTCAGCCCTCGGAACATAAAGAAGGTGAACAGGAGTCAGCCAGCGCCGCGGGGGCCGAGGAGTATCCTGACCGGAAGCGGAATGAGTGTGCTGAGTGCAGGAAAACCTTTTCTAAGAAGTCCACTCTGATTGTCCACCTGAGAATCCACACAGGAGAGAGACCCTACGCCTGTAACTACTGTCGGAAAACGTTCCGGATAAAGGCAAGCCTCACTCGACACCAGCGAATTCACACTGGCGAGAGGCCTTATAAGTGCAAGGAGTGTGGCAAAGCCTTCATAGACAAGTCGGCCCTCATCGTCCATCAGAAGATCCACGGAGGGGAGAAGTCCTACGAGTGTAACGAGTGTGGGAAGACCTTCTTCCGGAAGTCAGCCCTGGCCGAGCACTTCAGATCCCACACCGGGGAGAAGCCCTACAAATGCAAGGAGTGTGGGAATGCCTTCGGCAAAAAGTCATACCTCATTGTACACCAGAGAACTCACCGGGGCGAGAAGCCCAATGAATGCAAGGAGTGTGGGAAGACCTTCTTCTGTCTGTCCGCCCTCACAGCACATCAAAGGATCCACACAGGGGAAAAGCCCTATGAGTGCAAAGAGTGTGAGAAGACCTTCTTCTGTCAGTCAGCCCTCAACGTGCACCTGAGAAGCCACACGGGCGAGAAGCCCTACAAGTGCCGCCAGTGCGGGAAGTATCTGTGCACCAAGTCTGCCCTGGTTGCACATCAGGTCATCCACAGAGGAAAGAAGTCCTTCGAATGTAACGAGTGTGGGAAGCTTTTCTACCTGAAGTCGACCCTCACGATCCATCAGAGAACTCACACAGGAGAGAAGCTCAGTAAGTGGAGCCGACCGTCCTCTGGGAAGTCCAACTGTGGTGAGCAGAAAAGAGCGGATGCACAGGAGAATCCGCATGAGTGTCACGACCACAAGCGAGCAGCCCACAAGAGCTCACGCCGCTTCGCACACAAGAGAACCATATGGGAGAGACCTTACGAGTGTGAAGAATGTGGGCGGACCTACTGCCGGAAGTCAGCTCTCAGGCACCACCAGAAGACACACACGGGAGAGAGGCCCTACGAGTGTAAAGAGTGTGGGAAGACCTTCTGCCAGAAGGTCTCCTTCACTGAGCACCAGCGGACTCACACTGGGGAGAAACCACACAAGTGCAAAGAATGTGGGAAGTATTTCCGCCACAAGTCAGCATTCACAGTGCATAAGAGAATCCACACAGGAGAGAAACCGTACGCCTGTAACGAATGTGGGAAAAGCTATCGCCGGCTCTGGACTCTAACTGAACATCAGAAAATACACACAGGGGAGAAACCCTATGAATGTAACATGTGTAAGAAATCATTTCGCCACAAATCAAACTTCCTTTTGCATCAGAAAACTCACAAGAAGTAAATTCCAACAGGGCAACAGATTCAAATCCTGAATAACACATAAAGGTGTAAGACCTTGTCAGCACAGGGACTATTGGAAGATTTTCTGCCGAAGTCAGCCCCGTCTCAAACACCAGAGAGCTCACACAGGTGACATACAAAGTTCACTTTCAGACTCTCAGTGTTAACTATGAAGACATTCGGCATTTCAGACATGACACCAGGTGTGCCTGCCTCCCTTTCAGTTCACAGAACAAACACCAATCCCTCCCCATTACCCACCACAGTTAATGAGCATAGCGTATGTTGCCGGATGAGGAGCCAGTGTTGATTATGACCATTACCTGTTGTTCCTGTGATAACTGAGTAATGTCTGTTTATGAGTTTACAGTATTAACAGCTCAGACGACACAACCTGTTCGTCCCCTGTCCCTACTGTTTAGTGACAGGCCCTAATCCCTTTATCTGCAAAGGTGAGTCAGATGAACCACCCTTCACTTCGCTACCTGTAGTGACTCCCGCACACGAGTGAGCATTTGCTAACGCCACCGAGTCATTGGAGTTTTCTAATGAGAGGCACAAGCTAGCTTGTAAGTGCCTCCTTGAGCTTAGAAGCAAGCCAAGAAAACAGCGACTGCAGTTACCATAGCAAAACCAAAAATGAAGGAAGCAGGCTTGAATAGTGAAGAGGATTTAGGGGGTGTTTGATCAAAACAGTGTCTGCGTTGTTTGCGTTTTAAATACCTCTGTTCTATTAGTGGTTTGATTATGTCAGTGTTTTCAAAAATACCTTGATTTTTTTAAATGAACATGGCCATAGGGGTATGGCTTAGAATTTTCCTGTCGACCTCTAAGAAAACATCTCCATGGTGCCAAATAGAATCACATAGTGTGGATGTGTGCATCAGGCAAAATGCCCGCCATTCCTGGTGGGTTAATGTCAAGTCCTGGTAGCCAGCCACAAGTGGAATTTTCCACAAGCCCAGCCCTGCTCTCTGATGTGTTGTGCTTTCCTAGGACAATGAAGTGAGTTTATTTCATTGACAGAACAAAGCAGGGCCACTGGGTATCTTGACATGGGCCTTGCCTGTGGCTAAGCTGGCAAATCAGCCCTTGCTGTGGCCAAAGTAAGTTGTATTGTCCGCCTTAGTCTTGGTAATGAGTCTCACTCTGACCTGTCTGCTGCCTCTGCTTGTGATGTTGAGTTCTTGGGTTGGAAAAGCTGCCCCTTGTTTGAGACCCATCAGAAATCCCAGTATGAACAAGATGATATGTTTATTCAGTTTGTATTTTATATCCTTCAGCAAGGTAAATATATACTTATGAATGCACATGTATTTGATATATACTGATTATACTGAAACAGGAGTATATGTATATATCAATAGTAACCTTTCCTGAAAGTTTTAATAATTACTTAAAAGATTTGATTGCTGTTACAAGTACAATTTTATCATCTGTTTTAAAATTACTGATAGAGGCGTGATAAGGATTAGCAAGCAAAGTTGATTGCCGGCAAGCCTGATGACCCGAGTTCGATCCTTAGGCCCCACATAATAGAGAGAACTGATTTTCTTATAGGTTACCCTGACTTCCACAAGTGTGACATGGCATGCACACATACACACACCAAATACATACATATATATGTACAAACATACACACACATAAATAAATAAAGTATTTTTAAAACTCACTGATAGGGTTCTTAAGCATTTTTACAACATTTGTCAGAATGCATTCCTTGTATTTACTTTGCTTGGTCTTATAAAACTCACAGCTCCTTGTAGAGGATGTTGGTGAGCTGTCTTGGGGAGATAATTTCACCGTTTGAAAATCTGTACCCTAGCTGTCTTACTGTGCCTTCTGCTTGCCCCTGGGTTATGCAACAGATCACAATCTGTGATTACTGAATTGTTCACCTCTATTGCTTTGATCTAGTATACAGAAGAGTGTGCTGTATGCTGGAGGGAACTTTTTTTCTTTTTCCAAAGTCTGATAAGGAAAATGTAAGTCGGAAAATGTAAGTCATAAATGGAAGGTCAGTGAGCCCCAATCACAGAAAGTCACAAGACACATCAAAGTGAAACTTGAAGGTCCAGTGAGAGGACTCAGCTGGTAAGCCAGCAACCTGGGACATCTGTAAATGTGGACAGAGAGATCCGGCTCCACAGGTTGTCCTCTGACCATACATGGACTGCACACATACAATAACAGTGCAGTTTTTAAAGTTGCTTAAATACAAATAACTTGAAGACACATAAAAAACCTAAAGCAATTAAACGGAAGAAAGTCCTTAAAAGCAGCTGAAGGGAGCGGTGACATGTAGGGTCTGCAAACTTCTACAGCTGCTGCAAGAAACTGTCACAGTGATCAGAAGAATGGATATCATCTCACCGGACCAGAGACAGCCAGTCAGGCCCAGTGCTGCGAACCTGCCCCCTTCTGACCGCTGGAAGCTGGCTGGGCTTGCGTCTCCCATGTGATCTTCCAGCAGCTTGTGGCAACGCAACTTCAGGCTTTGCATCTGTCCTCACTGCGCATGTATGTCCTCACCTCGGGTGTCTGGCTACAGTTCCATTTTATCAGGACATGTGTGATCAAGGTCCCACCTTACTCAAGCATGACCTCATGTTGACTGACATCTGTAAAAGCCTTATTCCGTAAGGTCACATTGAAAGTATTAGAGGCTGGGGGGACATCATTGGTACCCTAAAATTTACCCTATGTTTACCAGATTAAAATAACAGTAGATATTTGTTGTGTGAGACTTTTGCTGGGGAGACGCAACACACCCTAGGAAGAAAACCTATGCCAGACCAAAGTAACAATCACCAAAGTCCAGCTCGGTAAACCAGTGAGGTTTTTGGGGTTACAAATGGGTATGGGTGAGGGCTTACTTACAGGAGCAGGGATGGCCCAGACACAGCTGCATTATCAAATCCCACTCCAGCATGGGTAGGGAAAACTGCAGCCCTGGACCTCCAGTCTGAGCCTCTGCAGCCTGGCTGGGCTGTCTGAGCCTCTGCAGCCTGGCCGGCCACTCTCCTCCATAATGATTATTACTGCATCTGTAAAGACCCTGAGAGGCTTCCAGACGGTCTGAGGTAACATCACTTGCCACCAAGCCAGACAACCTGTGTTTGATCCTGGGACCTACACGGTACAGGAGGAGAACCAGCTCCTGCAAGCGGCCCTCTTGTCCCCACACACACTCTGGCACATGCATCCTTACTGGACAACCTCTCCTCCCCAAATACATATAGAAAATGTAGTTTTTGTTTTGTTTTTGAGACGGGGGCTCTCTGTGTAGCCCTGGCTGTCCTGAAACTCACTCTGTAGACCAGGCTGGCCTCAAACTCAAAGGAGATCTGCCTCCCGAGTGTTGGGATTAAAGGTGTATATTGCCACCACTACCCAGCATAAGCGTAATTTTTTTTTAATGAAAGGTTTCTTTTTTAAAGATTTGTTTTTATGTGCATTGGTGTTCTGCCTGCATGTCTGTACAAGGGTGGCATATTCTCTGGAGCTGGAATTAGAGTTGTGAACTGGAATGTGAGTGCTGGGGGTTGAACTCCGGTCCTTTGGAAGAGCAGCCAGTGCTAAGCCATATCTCCACATCCCCCTAAATGAAGGTTTCTTTCCAAGATCGGGGTAATTGCTTGTTTATGTGCCAATTGGAAACTCTTTAGGAAGGGGATGTGTCTTAGTTTGCTTTCTATTGCTGTGATAAAAGACACTATGACCAAAAGCAACTTGGGGAGAAAAGGACTCATTTCATCTTAGGGCTTATAGTCTATACCTATGGTAAATCAGGGCGGGAACCTGGAGGCAGGAGCTGGTCATGGAGGAGCACTGCTTATTGGGTTGGCCAGCCTGCTTTTTTATACCACCCAGGAGCACCTGCCCAGGGGTGGCACCGCTCCCAGTGGACTGGGCCCCCACCCCCCACGGCCATCAAGAACATTTTCTACAGGCCAATCTGATAGAGGCTTCCTCCCAATCAAGGTTCCCTCCTCCCAGATAACAAGGATGGAAGGAAGTTGTGTTTGGGGCAGTGAGTTGAGCTGAAGTCTAGTGTACAGAGGAGTCCTTTAGTGATAGATGTGGTGCTACCCCACTGATTCATCCACAGGGCGAGAGCTCGTGGACCACCTTTGTAATCGCTCCTATTCTACCAGTGAGGCGGAGAGTAGCATCGTTCTCCTAGAGCAGGAGGTGAGTTTTTAGAAATTGTCCATTGTTGACAGAGCTGACAGCTTTCAGTTCTGCCCTATTGCTTTGTGTGTATAAATCCATCCATCTTCCATAGCACCCCACTGAGGGAAGTCTTGATATTTAGGAAAGTCTCTATTTTCTCAGCTAATGTCTTCAAGTGATGCCTTAGAGTGCCCTGTTTGCAGGAGTTCACGGACACTGTCTACTGACTACATACAGTCAGCCCATGTCGAAATCAGCTTTCTCATCTTCCTGGTTCACTGGGAAGCTAGCTTAGCAGACATTCTCTAGTCTAAAATAGGCACAGCGCCCCCTAACCAACTGTTTGCTCACAGTGTATGTCTGTGGAGTGTATGAAGTCAGTGGGACGACTTGGGAAAGCCTTGGCTTCCTCCTATACAGCACATCTAGTGTGAAGTGTTCCAAAGCTGTATCTGATGCCCCCCACTCCCCTAGAATGTCCCCAAACTATTATCAACAAGGCTCTCTGGCCACCAGACATCTGGTTGGACGTCCCAGTCAATGACCCTCTGCTGGAGTTTGAGCTCTCTAGGTCCTGTGTCATTCTAGATTTAATCAAAAGCAGAGCTCTACAACAGCTTGCAGGTGTCCATTTCTGACCCTAACTCCAAAGGCATGGCTGCCTCTCTTCCTCTTCTCCCTCTGCCCAGCAGCTGCTGAGACTTACAGCCTGCCTGCCATGGATATGTGTATGCGTATGTGTGTGTATACACAGAGGTGTGACCGTAGGCAACTGTGGGGAAGCTGTGACATGACTGAGCCCATGTCTCATGCCTCAGCGTGAGATCTACAGGCTGAGCACTCAGGAAGAGCATGTGAGCATCAAATGACAAAGTCAGCATGTGATGTGAGTGTTCCCTAGAAGTGACACAATCTGAGGTGTCACACACTCTCAGACACTGAACAACTTGACACAAGTTGGAGTGGAGACGGGAAGGCCAGGGGGTAGCATCGCCCTGAGTTACCTCACGAAGTTCCTTCCAAGCTGTTCCGGCAGCTCTTTCCTCAGCCCAGAATGTACCAGAGAGAGGACTGAGGGCTGAGTACCATTGCTGGTTTCCTGAGGCCGTTTGTCTTCAGAGAACATGCTTCCAGAAGCCCAGAGAGTGTCACCTGCTGCACGCCTTAGCTCTACGTTACAGTCTACAAACCAGTACAGTATACTCGGGCAGGGGGAGACACCGTGCTAGGTACTGTATGCAGCTGTAACAGCTGTGTGTATCAGCACATGGCAGAAAAGGCACAGTAGAAGTGCTGGCCAACTTACTTACTTCTTGCTGTAAAGGAGTATCCCTTGGGCTGGCGCAAGATGGCTCAGTGGTTAAGAGCACTGACTGCTCTTCCAAAGGTCCTGAGTTCAATTCCCAGCAACGACATGGTGGCTCACAACCATCTGTAATGGGATCCCATGCCCTCTTCTGGTGTGTCTGAAGACAGCTACTGTCATATACATGAAATACATAAATAAATAAAATCTTAAAAAAAAAAAAGAGTATCCTGATGTCTTTTTCCTGGAGAGGGGATACTTTTGACATCAACTCCTATGCAGTCAGGCTTGTCCCTCAGGGAACCCAGATAGATATTTTTATCTTTTATTTATATTCCCTTGCGAAAAAGACATCAGGACGGGTATGGCCCTCATGCCTTACTGGACAATGACTGGGGGACTGGAGCCATTACAAGGTCCCCTTCAAATACTGGAGGTCAGGCCTCTATCCCCGCCTTCACAAGTTTAGAATTGCGACAGCCCTTTTATATTTAGAGAAGGGAGGAGATGTCAGGGGCAGCCCTGCTTACACACTATAGGCCTAAAATCAGCCATAGGCCTAAAATCAGCAATAGGCCTGTCATACATGTATACTAACACCAAGTCTTGGGTCTCAGTGGAAAAACATTGAAACAGATGGCTATAATGTAAACAGGCAGCTTTTGTGGAAATTTACCAGCCTGAGTAGTCATAGACCTTGTAAATAGGTATCCTTGGCAGACAATACCAACTTAGATAAGGACAAGTGAGTCATAGGCAGAGTCATAGTGAATTGTCCCCTGAACCTTCACCTAGGCGATACCAGGTTCTGAAGATATCTGTATTCCCCCTGAACACTCACACTCCATTGTCATTCTCTTCCCCACATCCTGCCCTTCTGTGTTTATAACTCCTGTGTGAATTAATTACAATTTGAGAAAAAAAAAAGAAATTCTATCTCAAAAAAAAAATTTAAAAAAGACAATATAAAAGCAAAGATCTTTTAAATGATCATTAGCAAAAAATATTATAAAGCATGAGGAAACATATTAGAATGACATAGTATACATAGTTTCTCCATATACTTCAGCCAAAAATCTATAAATGTATTTTTACTGTTGATTGTCAAATACATTCTAACACTCTGATATTTCATGGTGATATGTATATAGCCTTGTCAAATTAATTTTTCTATAGTCAAAAAATCCATGGTCTAAATCTAGTTTGCCACCAACAAGCTATCTCTCTGAAACATTATATCTGACTGACAGTCTGTGGAAAATACTTTTGATCTAAATTTTGTCTTAGCATTGTGAGCATGATGCTTATGTAACTATTCAGTTGTAAATATTCATCAATAATGTATATTATATTCATTCTAGTTAAAAAGCTGCATTCTTAAACTTTCTATAAAAAATGTTGACCATGTACCTCAAGAATGTGAGAACTGAGCTTCTATAAATGGCCATTGTGACTTGATGATTAAATAAGTGTGAAAAAATAAAAAAAAAAAAAAAAAAAAAAAGAGTATCCTTTAAAAGCAAGTTAGGGAGAAAAGGTTTGGCTTACAGTTCCAGAGAGACATGGTCCTCCATGGCAAGGAAGATGTGGCCGCTGGTAGCCAAGTCATGTTGTCAGGAGATGCACTATAAAACTGCAAGGCCCGCCCCCAGTGACCCACTTCCTCCAGGAAGGCTCCGCCTCCTGGGAGTTCGATAACCTACCTAAACAGCACCACCAGGTGGGGACCAAGTGTTCAGACACATTAGCCTATGGGGGACGTTTCACTTTCAAGCCACAGTCCAAGCGCATAGGAGTTTCAGCCCCATTATATAATCTTATGGGCCCTCTGTCAATCAAAGTATCATTATGTGACACATCTCTGTACACACCAAATAAACTCACTTCTGTCAATAAAAAGGAAAATATCGGCCATCAGTCTGTGTCTTGGCTTCTTTTCTTGTTTCTGTGATTAAAAATAAATAAATAAATAAATAAATAAATAAATAAATAAATACTTGAACAAAAACAGCTTAAAGGGAAAAGATCTGATTTCAGCTCGTGGTTCAAGGTGCAGTCCATCCATGGCGACAGGACACGGGAGCTTCAAGCCACTTTACGTGCACGGTATGGATGCAGAAAGCAAGGGACGGATGTAGGCTCTCCACTCAGCACCTTCTCTCCGTTACAACCAGTCTAGGGCCCATCCACGGAAACATTACCACCCACATCCAGGGTGGGTGCCCCACGTCAGTAAACCCAGTGAACGAA